ACCGAACTGCTGATTTTGATAAATTCTTTATAATTCAATGTCTCCCTCTGGAATTCTATCCCCTTTTTTATCCGACACGCAAAGTCAGTATTTTCTTTCAAATCTATCTTCTTCAATCACCTACTCCATTCCCAATCCAGTTGATCATAAAAATTCACTTAAAAATCTAATTCATAAGAATCTCAAAGTAACCCGAGATGCTTTGATTATTTTGAGATTTATTGATATTTTGTTTATTTATTTTATTTTCTCTGTTTACTTTTGTATGTAAGTTTTTATATCTTTTTATTATCTGTACTTTTATTTTATTACTAATCATCCTTATCATCATCATGTAAATATTTAATTGTATTTTACGGACACACCAGAGTATTAATATATCTTCTGCATTTGTAGTTTATTCTAAAGGGACACTAGTCCCATAATAATACAATTATTTTCATTCATCAGTTTATTTGGAGAGCTGTTGTCCCACACAGATTGCCAATCTTAGTATACGGCCTCTTTTAGTGGTCGCGCCATATTCCAACAAATATAAATTAAAGGTATAACAATATTTGGTATATAATATATACATCAGACGAGAATATCGTCAACATTTTATGTTTGCTTTAGTTCGAAACTAATGCATGCTGATCCCTTGGCATGGTTATAGTCAATTATGTATTTTTGTTGAAATTAAAAAAAAATATAAGGCAAGATTTAGATTAATTACGTATATTCCTTTCTCATAAGTGAAGGTAGGAAAGCTTTATATTAACAAGAGAAGTTAAAAAAAAAATTGCTGATAGTCGAAAATATGTCTACTCATGTTTTACGTTTTAGACATCAAAGAACAAAATTTGTTTCATGTCTGTCAATATATCTGTCTGCCTATTGTCAAATCGATGTGACGGGCATATCACCAACAACCGTTCATCCGATTTCCATGAAATTTCCAGAGATTGGACTGGTTGGTGTCTAAATGGTCCTACATGAATCTGATTAATTTTTATTTAATACTTAAACGTGAAAAAGTATTTTCATAGATATGCATTGACTCATTTGATTTCCCTCAAGAAATATGGGTATAGGTAAAGACATGATACTAGATCAATTTTATAGATTTGCATCCATTGCTCCATTTTTAAGTACATATGTGCAAACATAGTTGTAATAAAATTATACGTTAGACGTTTTATTCGTATGTTTAAGAACAAATATCGTTCTGTTTATTGCATGTTCAATGAACGCGTACATTTCAAACATTTTTGCAAAAACGAAGTAAAACATAGTTAGTTAGTTGCCGCATTTCCAAAGTTACAGAACTCCGACATAGAGGAATATATATTACTCTGTCTAGCTAAATATATAGTCTAGATCGGAAAGATTAAACCACTATATTTCTAATGCCGAAGAGATTGAGTTTGGATCGAAAGCACATCCATAACCATCTCCAGCCATCCTTCATATTACCAGCCTGGAATTTTAAGCAGCCACTCTCTGGTACGATTTTTTTAGGATTTATGTAGTTCGATTATATTTTAACATTTTTTTTAGCATGCTTTTTTTAAAAAATATATTTTCTTATTTCAAGACATTTGTTATACTCTTGTTTGTTTCGATGTCTAGGCGCAAAAAAACAGGTCATCACCGCCCGATCAACTAAATAACACTATTTTTTTACAGTTTGGATGGTTGGTACGAAAAAAAGGATGAAAAAAGTAAATAAAAGGATTGATAGAATAAAATAAATAAATAAAGATAATAATAGACACTCATAGATAATAAGATAGAATAGATACATAAATAAACTAATAAAAAATAGCAATAATATCAATAAATGAATTGAAATTAATAAACGAATGAACTAAAAAAAGAAAAGAAAATTAAAAATTAAAAATAATAATAAATCTGCAAAGGATCATTAGTTATGAACTTGTCATATATGTTGTTATACTCTTGATAATACTCTCTCTCTCTCTCTCTCTCTCTCTCTATATATATATATATATATATATATATATATATATATATATATATATATATATACAGTCGCGGTCATAGAAAGTGCATCACCTATTTATTTTGATTCTTATACTGATAAGGTTGGTTGTTTTTCTTTACTGATTAACGTTATAAGGAGACTTTAACAATGTTTCTCAGTATACAAGAATAATTTACATGCGAAAATTAATTTAAAAATTGTAACTCTTCTGAATTAAAATTAAAAACAGATAAAATTTCGAAGGAAAAAAATTCGAAAGACAACTATTTGATGTTTAATTGAAATAATGTTAGTAAAACTAATTGATATTACACATTAAGCTCTTCTACTTCGTGGATGAACATTGAAGCCTGAGATGAGATGAATTCCTCGAAACAATCAGAACGTTTTTAATTAATTTCGAGAATGTTTGGATTTTTTATTTAAGATAATTAAAAACTTCATTCTGAGAAATTGATCAAATATAAAAGAAGTAAGAAAATAAAAAAGAAAATATAAAAATGGTTAGATGAATTTCTTGATTCTTATTAAGCATATGACAGTGAGTACAGTTAAGTACAACATTATGACAATACATTGATAATAAAGTATTTTAATATTTTTTTTAATATTAAACAAGCCCATGGCATAACACATCGTGAGGATTCAAAGCAAAGCGTTGTAATATAAAATGAATAAAACAGTTTTTTTTATAAATGATATGTTGAATATGAAAACTGAAAAGAAAACAAAAATGAGACTAATGATAGTATAATAAAAAATACATAAAAGTGAGGGATGTAAAGAATTATTCATTTTTAAAAATAGCCCCTAACAGATTATAGAACAAAAGACACTATTTCAAATATAACAAGTTTTAGGTAATAATTCAAAGAGTAATTTCAAATTAGAACAATCTGTTTTGTTTTTTAATTTTAATTGGTGTAATTAATAAAATCAAAGATAAACCACCAAATCTTCATAAAACCGATAATTGAGATACACAGAGCTGATTTTTTACAGAATACAGACAAATAAAATTTTATTTTTATGTTGGAAATTTTTCATTTTATTTTCATGAATTAAATCGATGTTATAAGCGTTTATTTTGTATGTTTGTAAACTTTCGCAGTCCGTTTTTCTGAATCATCTGACGTTTGTTTTTTTACTAAAAGTTGTAAAGTAGGTGTATATCGTATAAGTAATGTGTAATAACTGTTTAATTTTTAATTGTAAAACTTAAATTAATTTTGAAATTTAATAGAATATCATTTTTTTATTATTATTTTTTCGCTTAGAAATGTTCAAGTAAACTTTCCACTGGTTCTTTGAATAATAAATTTACCCTAGAAGTGGATTATAAATTATTCTACTTGGGAATTTTTTTTGTTTATAATTTTTATGTTCCAGTGTTTTATTTTTTATTTCCATTTTCTAGGCTCATAGAATATTATATCAACTAATTTTCTCTTATAAATGGTCCGATTGAATATCGTTAATAAAGTTTTCCTCGAATACTTAAGAACTCTCCTTTAAATATTTACTCACTACTGTTTTCCTTATGCTCCTTCCAAAGAAGTCACGTTTTTGACACGAGCCGGAATTATTGAAATATATTATTAATTTAAAAAAATATTAATATACAATATTTAATTTCTAAAACAAAATACTGATTTTATAGCATATTATTGATCCGTTTCACGATTTTTCAAAAACAAAATTTTTAACTAATTTTATAAAAAATTTATGGAATACCTAATGTACAAACTTAAATCAAAATAAAAAAGTATACATGTTATTAAAATAAAATATTAAAAAACTGAAAATCTCATTTTAAGGTACTTTTTCAATATTAAAGAATGCTTATTCTATGCATAGTAGAAATAAATGTAAAAATATAGAAAATAGATTCCTCTTTCCGCAATAAGGAATGTAGCATATCAAATTGGTTTTCCATATATTTTCTTCATACGCAAGAATGACCTTCCTTGATATGCAAGAAAGTCCTTTCCTAAATAAAGTAATTGAAAACTTATTCGATACATACTGAGCTAAAAGGATATATATATATATATATATATATATATATATATATATATATATATATATATATATTAATATATATAGTATATAATATATATATTTATAAATTTTAATAATCTTTTACGGAATTTATGAAGCATTAGCTGCTGAAAATTTGTTGATCTTAAGAGAATGACGTAATTTTAAAAATTCTTTTTTATATTTATTGATTATTTATCCTAAATTTTAATATTCCTTGTTGATATGACGATTTTTTTAAATGAAATTATCATCATTGTTTTTGTATTTCTTTGTATTAGTTTCGTTCGATGTATAACATTTGGTACCGATAAATGAAACATTATCAAAAATATATAAATAAATAATAAAGATCTTAATTTCTAAAAAATAATTAAGCTATTTTAACTAATTTAATTCCTAAATTATTTCAAATGAAAACATAATGGTGTAGTAATGTCGAAAAAAAAAATGTTTCGATTATCAGGTATCACATATCGTAAACTTTTTAGGACAGAAAATATTTTTCTGTCATTTGTCGGCTGTTTTTATGAAGACAAAATTGAAATTATCTTATTCATTATTATTTTCTTTATTTTATCTTTTTTTTTTGCATGGCCCGTACGATAACTTCCTTTGTAATCTTAACTCATTTCATATCTCAAGAGGGATTTCAGCATGAAAATTTCTAACAAAGAACTTTTACTTCAAATTAATGCAAATAACAATTTATTTTATTATTAAATTTTTAAAAATTATTTATAGCATACTTTTATTCATTATCTTATATTTTTATTAAATAGTTTTGTCATATTCTTCAATTATTATACTAGGGCTCTAGGTAGGATTTTGAGTAAAATATTTGTATGAATGTCATCTAAACATTTTTTAGTTATAGCGTTTGATGCGAGAATAGCATTAGGAAAATAAAAATATGATTCTTATATTTATTTCAACCACAAGCAGACATTTTATAATTCTTGATTTTGTACTAATCAAAGATTTAAACTAAATTTAATTGTATTTTTTACTATTAAAAAATAATTATTAAGCAAAATAAAATAAATCATCAGGTGTAATAATCATGAGTTAAAGTCATTTAAAACGATGTGCTGAAAGCATTTACTTGATGTTTTTTTTAAATATTTTTCTAATCTTAAGTGGTTTGTCAAATTTTAAAAAATGGTTCGAAGTTTTTTTTTTTCTCACAGCAATTATAAATTTGTGTCATTCTTATTTTCTGTTGACAAATCCACTCTAATGTGTTATTATTTCCCCCATGGTGACCAATGTACTCGACTTCTTGCGGGACGTCCGCTGCTACTAACTACTGCACTTGGGATACTCACGGACAAGCGCGCTGTTGGAGACGATGCTGTCCTGGCGACGTTCTTCCTCGGACTGAACTCTGGAGGGGGGACGCCGAGCACAGCGCTCAATACTGGCTGTAGAGTAACTGTTGCTGGCAGAGCCTGCTCTGTGCCTAGGAGGCCTGCTGGACTCAGCTCTTCTTCTTGGTCTAGGATCGAGTCCCTCCTTAACCTCAAGTTGTTCACTTTTCATCGCTTCTATGAAGAAAACAGCCAACAGCGCTTGAGGTGAAACTGCTTGTCTGAAGTTTGCAGTCGAACGACTTCATTCCTAATAATGTATCTGTCCACATCTCGTCATTTAAAGAAAAGTAACATTTTTAAAATTTACGTTAGCATTGTTGTAATATGAACCTTTTCAGAGTGGACTTGAAACCATCTCTTCATCAACTACAAAAGTCATACGAAAGTGAGATTAGATGATTAAATAAAACTGACTGAAAAAAAAATTATATTATGTGAGCAATATTCGTTTTCTTTTTATATATCAATTTTATAAAAATTATAAACAATGGCCTCTAATATCTATTAGCTTGCTTCGGTATATCTGATTCTGACTTCCACATGTTATTCGAGGTAATTGTTTCGCGAAATCTGAAATTAATGACACACCCACAAACCATTGAGGAAAACGTATACATTTTCCTATTATATTAGGGTGAGTAGCAGTCAAACATGTGATGTGTATGTCGATATTTCAAGAACCTTCTAACGTAATCGAATAGTATCGACGTCGGTTTTCGAAATAGGTATAATATTTGCCGTTTGGGAAACAATACTGACAAATATTAATTTTTATATTTTATTCAATTCTTTATTAAATATTGTAGGATTTTATCAACGTTGTAAAACTCAATATCAATGTCACTAGTACAATGTCTACTCCAATACTTAAAATTCATAGATAAACACTCTACTCTTCCAATTTATTATAAAAAGAAATCCTCATTTATATTTTAATAAGGATACGTATATATTACAGTTCTTTGACCAATATTTACAGCTTTTTTTCGAATATCTTCTTTTAAATAATATCCAATGATGGCCTAATACATTTATTATACTTTATATCGAAAATAAAATAAAAATAATGTGGTGGAGGTATTAAAATCACTTGTGGAGGCAGTCGGTCCAGACAGTCATAATTTATAGCTGTGGTTCAGCTCAACAAGGGGATCGAGAATGGGTTCAAAAATTTCCCTCTACAAAAAAAAAAATTGTATGTCTTTTCATTATTTTAGAGGTCCTTAATTCATATTTTCAATTTGGCAATTGGCCACTCGACATAAATAATACATAAACGATATATATATGTTAATTATAGAAAGTTATAGTATATGTAGATGACTATTAACATTCAGTTCAATTTGGAAAGGTAATGGATTATTAAGATATTTGGAGTATATTAAGGGTATGATAATATACTATTTTTTGTACCGCACCTCCCGACTAACTTCTGTTGAAATTAGAATCCACGGTCAACTATCTCCATAAAAGTAGCAAAATTTAATATTAATTTAAACATTTGATAAAAACTATTTTATAGTTATTTAATTGACCAAGCAGTTCAGTACACTATAACCTTGACCCTTTGAGAAATGGAAGAGGACCTCCAGGTTTAAGAAGACTGCGTAAAGATTGAAGCGAGAAAAGATATAAAAATATTAGAATCTCGATTGCTCCAGGGAAAGGAAGGAAGAAGGAGGAAAAACAAAACAAAAGTATATTAATTATAAGTTATTTAATTAATTAACTTTATTTTTTCAAAAGATTTCCCTTTTTATTATCTAAGAATCATTACACAATTGTAATCTTCAAGACCAAAGGTAATCTTTCAGCCTGATGTCATGTTTTCCTGCATCAGGATGGATTCTTTTTAATTTTATTTTTATGTAATTTTTCAATTCATTAAGAAGATACCTAACATCGAATGAAAAGATAAAATTATTTTTTCTTTGTTAGAAGGAATAAAATTTTGCCACTTAGCCATATTAAACTGCTATGATTTCTAATTAAACCTTTTCATTATGATAATAATAATAATAGACAATATTCTCTCTATTAACTTATTTAAACTTTCTAAAGAGTCGGTACTTAAGCCGACAGCTAAGCTTAAATTACTACGGATATTGAAAAACGGGTTAAGGTAAAGTAGGCCTTATCTTCAACCTTTGGCAAGAATTTTATCTCCCATTATATAGATATTATAATAAACGGTCTAATTAATTTTATATATTTTATAATTTTATAATTATACATGTAGTGTTATTAAATTTATACATAAAAAAAAAATTATGATATAGACATGTTTGGCCACTTGTGGAATCTTATGCATTTTGATCTAACTTCACACAACAATTTAATAATCAGGATATTACCTTTTCAGTTGACAGAATGACTAAAATATCATTAGAAAATTTATAATATCAGTACAAACAGAAAGTTTTGAAATTTAAAACTGTGAATAAATGCATATATTTATAAAATATATCACTAAAATTAGCAATCAACAAATCAAAAATTGGAGTTAGTCATTCTGTCAACTGAAAGGCTTATACCAAAATCAAAGCTTATGATTAAAAGTATAATGAATTTTATTTAAATTCTAATATGTCATAATAAACGCCACCTTCAACAGCTGATAACCCTAGTGATAGCATGAATGACACTCAACCTGGTACTTCAACGAAAAATTTGACTGCACAAAATATAAATAACGAAACAGATGAATCTCCATTTTTTACTCCTAACCCATATCAATTACTGTCGTTGGAAGAAACAATGGAAATACCACCAACCCCCAGAGAACCAAAACCACCTCCTATATTCATCAGAAATATAAAAAATTTCCCGCTATTTTGCCAGCATCTAAATAAACTACTGGACAACGGCAAATACATCTGTCAAACTCGAATCAATGACACGAAGTTGATGCCAGATTCCCCTGAAACTTATAAAAAAATTGTTAAATATTTAACTGATACAAAGGCGGAATTTCACACTAATCAGTTATTCCAAGAGAGAGCACTAAGAGTAGTGATAAGAGGCCTACACCCTTCAACTCCACCTGATGCAATCAAGGAAGGATTAACGGATCTAGGATTCAGTGTCCGCCAAACTGTTAATATATTTAAAGAAAATAAAGAGCAGCCGGGCACAAATAATAAAATAGCCCTACCATTATTTTTTGTAGACCTAGAGCGCACCACTGGGTTCGATAATATTTACAAATTAAGACGCCTGTACTATACTAGTACAGTGGTTGAAAAACCATATAGCAAGAAGGAAATAGTTCAATGCCATAATTGCCAATCTTATGGCCACACTAAAAGTTATTGTCACCGCTTACCGCGCTGCGTGAAGTGCGGGCAACAACACAAATCGGAAGAATGCAGTAAGTCCAGGCAAACACCTGCAGTGTGCGCATTATGCCATAAAGACCATCCAGCAAACTACAAAGGATGCCAGACCTACGAAATATTAAAATCGAGACTCCTAACAGCTCCTAGACAGGAAGAGACCTCCAGGACTTCCAGACCAACAAGGCAACAGACAAGATTTACAAACAATCAAGTCTCCTATGCTCAAATACTGGGAGAAATAGAACAGCCCACTCAACCTCAGTCCCTGCCACAAACTCAACCTCAACTTCATAATCCGCCACCGCAACTTAATAACACCCAAAAGTCCAGTCACCACCAAATGTACATCCCTCCCCCTAACAATTCCAATGATCTTACGAGTCTCCTTTCATCATTCCTCTCCGAATTCAGATCTCTTATCACACCACTTATCTCCTTACTCACAAATGTCATATCTAACCTTATACCACCGCCAAGAATTCCTTAAATGCCCTCAATAAAACCCCTTTCCATTCTCCTCTGGAATGCGAATGGTGTTCGAAACCACATCAATGAACTAACTTTTTTTCTACAGGACAATAACATTGACATAGCCCTAATAACTGAGACTCGACTAACTAATAAACGACAGTTCAACATACCTAGCTACAAGATTTATCGAACTGACCATCCTGATGGAACAGCACATGGAGGTACTGCTGCTATCATCCATCAATCCCTCTCCCATCACTTTTATCCTTTACCAGTACATAATTTCCTACAAACCTCAGCAATAACAATCCAAACTTCACTTTTGTTCCTTCACTTCACTTCACTTCCTGTCACAGTTGTTGCAGCATACTCCCCACCTACCGATAAACAGCAATAAGCGAACCTAACTTCATATCCTTTCTTAATTCCTTAGGACATCATTTCCTTATAGGTGCAGATCTTAATTCCAAACATCAGCAATGGGGAGCCAGAACCACGAACACCCGCGGGCGAACATTGCTGTCTGCACTTATTTCCCACAATAGCAACATCCTTTCTCCTAATACTCCTACATACTGGCCAACCGATCCTAACCTCAACCCTGACCTCCTTGACTTCCTCATTCACAAAGGTCTAGGGCCGTTAAATTATTCAGTTTTACGGCTTGATGACCTTTCCTCAGACCACAGTCCGCTAAACCTAACTCTTTCCGCATCTCCTATCCCCAAATTATCTCCTCCCTCATTCATCAGAGGCCCAGTCAACTGGAACCTTTTCCGCCAAACAATAGCAGATGCAATAGACCTCAGAGTATCCCTAAAAACCCCTCAAGACCTTGATAATGCAGTGAGTTCCTACACCACCTTGATCCAACAAGCAGTTTGGACTGCATCCTTACCACTTCCCTCCAAAACATACCGTAAAAAGAATCCTTTGGCCCAAGATCTTACTGACCTAATTAAATCCAAACGCCAATCTAGGACCCTCTGGCAAAGAACCAGGCATCCTGATGATCGAAAAATATACAATTATTATTCCAAACAGATAAAAAAAGAACTAGCTTCCTTTAGATCCCAATCATACAACTCCTACCTCTCTTCCCTATCTACCGATGACAATTCCCTCTGAAAACTGACCAGAAAAATCCTTAAATACCATTCTGTTTCCCATCCCCTTCGATGCGATGATGGAACCTGGGCTTCGTCAGATGAGACTAGAGCTGAAGAATTTGCCAAACACCTATCCAAAACATTCACTCCCCACCCCGAACTCCATTCCACCCTCACTGCTGAAATTAAAGAATTCCTCTCTTCTCCTATTCCTTTCTACTTGCCTCCTATAGCTGTCAATCCCTCTGAGGTCAAATTCCTTATAAGCAACCTAAAACCTCGAAAATCCC